AAAAAAAAAAAAAAGCTTATACAGTGGCTTATAAGCAAAAAAACTTTTATTTTGCAACATTTTTTTTGCACAAGTCTCATTGTAATGCATTTTTGGCATTATCTTATATACAAATTGTTCGAGTTGCCATTCACTTAAAACGTCTGTGTTCATAATTGCTTGTGATAACATTTGATTAAACTTCGACATTATTAAAAATCTTTAATTTTAAACCAGAACTTTAAAACTTTTTTGATGATGCATTATTGTGAACACTTAACTGCCCTGAATCTTTTTTGACCACACTAACGCTCAGTTAATTGTTAGATATTTTATCTTGTTTCTGCTCTTTCTTCTTTTTCATTTGATACTGGTTTTATCGATGATTATTATTGCTTTTTTTTCTTCTCCAAAGATACTACGTGAATCTTGTTAAATGTATCCTGTACAGTAGTTTTCTTGCAGTTTCGTGTTGGTTAATGTTTGTTTAACTTCTGGTCGTTGTGAATGGATACACGGTTTGAGGAAGATGTCGTCTTTAGACCCTCAGCGAGTATTACCAGTTGAAAGCAATCTTGTTGAAGATGAAATGGTTGTGTTGATGGGGCCCCAAGGAGCTGGTACAGCGCTTGAAACTACACCAAGTTCTATGAATGATGCTTCCATTGAATATGTTAGTTTTTCAAAGACATTTCTTGATTTAAAGAATGTAAAGATTTAGAGATTTTCGGATCTGAGCGTTAATGTTATGGGCCTTCGTTGTAGTGCTAGGAATTCTTGTGGCTTTCAGTAGAGTTACTGGTAGCTAATCGGACTTGACCATAATTTTGATAGTTCTTTGCAGCTTTCTACCGAGGTACTCGAAGCTTCCGGAATTACGGAAGGTTCTTCTCAGGTTCAAGGAGACCAGTTAGGATCTTTATTGTCACTAAGCGGTCATAATCAACCTAGTGAAGTACCTACTTCAGCACCTCGAAGTGGTATGAAGCGGGAAAATTCATCCTGTTCGCTTGGTCAAGTGGAGGCGCCCGAAAATATCACAGTTTCTATCACTCCTGAGGGTTTAGTTGTAATATCCGACGCCGGCCAGAGACGGTTTTATGTCAGTGTTCAGAATTTTTATTATTGTATTATTTTATTAGTTTTTGGAATTTTCAGTGAAAAAAATTTTTTCAAGGGAAAAATAGTATGTTTAAAATGGGTACATAGCTTCTAGATCTTTGTTTTCTGGAAGCTTCTTCAAGCTTAAGCGCTGTATCATTACGTATTTCACGTCAGTCCACGCCTAGATATACACCTTTGAAATCACACGCATTAGATTCTTCTGAGTTTCTCAGACTTGTAAGTTTTGAATCTGCATTTTAAAAAATGAGGGGGAAAGAGGAGGTGCCACGGAAGTTTGAGCAAGTCGGTGGTTCGATAAGATGACGTCTAGATAGCGTCAAGAATAGCCTCTGAGTAGCTTATTCTGTGGAATAGCATTTGAGAAAAGTGTCTGGCGTGGGCATGAGCCTTACCTAAAGCCTAAGCTTTGATTATTACTGATAAGAGTACGGTATTTTGTCGACATAAAGGAAATTCAAGGGAGTAGATTGGGCACTGTGTTATACTCTTACGAAATTCCATTTTTTTGATGTGTTATAATTTTGTCACTTATAAGAGTGGCAAATGATTTTGGGTCTGACTAGTTTTTTAAACTGAATATATTTGCAGAATTTTGTTTGTTTTGGAATGTTGGGTCATGCAATTTTTGTTATCTTTGGAAGGATTTCTCCATTAGTTTCATCTTTGCAGATATAAGTTCCGATTTCACAGTAGTTCCAAGCTAGGATGTTTCCGTTTTGTAAAAGAGGAAATTTTATGCAGAATATATACATATATTTGGTTTTTTTTTTCTGAGGGAATGTCTTCAAATTTACTTGTAGGCTTTGTATCTCTGCAAATTTTTATTTCTTCTATGCAGACTTTTATGGTGCTAAACTTACTTCTTCAGGTTGTGAGTCAAGCTCTACAAATTAGAAAAACTCCAAAAGTTTGATTTATTAGTTCTGAAAAGTGCTTGGTTTGGCGTGAACTCAACTCTTCATTTTTTCAAACTCAACTGTAAAGCACCTAGAAATTTATATTTTTTAAAATTTATTAACTTTTAGTTCACTGGCGAACAGCTTGCTGTGAATAACATTGACATAAATAACTTAAACGAGGATACAATACATCAGATCGTCTCATTGGCGTTTTCTGCTCATCGCAAGTATTGTAAAATTCTGACTGTGCATTTCAAAACCAATCACTATTAATTATGCAAGTTATAGTTACTGTCCTCTGCATCTCATTGGTCCATTTTTTTTCAGCGACAAGAACAGTCAGTCAAAAAGGAGGAAGTACGATGGATCATTATCACTATCCGATGTTAGTCAAGTAGGCTCCGTCTTGCTTTGTTAGATTCAGGAACATTTGATAACATCAACAAATCTGTATTGAATTTTTTTATTATGGATAAATTTTCGTCTTTGTGAAGGACCAATCGATTACTGTTTGCTAAAATTGTTTAGCACTAGGTCGTACTTTATTCCTGCACAGTAATTAGTAGGGACATTTTTGATGCAGAAGTCTCTAGTCTAGACGTTTTTTCACTTTTTTTCAACTTACACGTACATTTTTGCTCTAGATCTTTACAGTAAATTTCGGTGAATTTAGGACAAAATAGTAGAACATTCTGTGTTTCCCTCTACTTCAGGGACTCGGAAATTACCTCTAACCGGTGAGTACTAAATTCATTTCCCACATGCGTGCTTTTTCTGTCGTGAATTATTTTCATGGCGCCTTTCAGCAGTATACAATTTTTTTTCAAATTCCTAAAAATTATTTCTGATGTTGATTTCAGAACCACGTCACGGCCAAGTGGCTTTAATTGGTGAGGAAGTGGAAGTTAAGAGAGATGGTAGACTGGTTCCTGCAAAAATTAGGTACTGTCGTGGAGGAGGAGGTTATAAGGTTCAGTTTTCTGATGGACATTTTGAATGGGTGGGCTCTGAACAAATACAGATACGAGGTAATCTGGCGTTCTTTCCTAAAATTTCGGTTTAACTCACGCTTCCTCATTTTTCTAAAAGTGCCTTATCAATACGTTTTATGGCTATGGCTGGTAATAAAATAAAGATTATTTGAAAGCTGGTCATGCAAAGACTCGTAGCGATCATGAGTCTTACAGTGGTTTCGTGGAACCAAGTTTTCCGAAAAACCATTCTATTAGCAGTAACGTTGGAAGACGGGCACCCCCTGCTATCCCAGGTTAAATATTAGGTTATTTCAACCTTTATTCTGACAAGGTTGAGTGAATTAGTATTTTTCTGACTATCAGCCTTCGGTGAATTATTGGAAGTTTTCTTTTAAATTTTGTCATATACTTAGTTCTCAAAATCCGCTAGATCCGAAAGCTGATATTATTTTTTCTGACTCTTTCAGAAACAGTTTGATACCTCTCTAGTTCCTAGATCAGTAATAACAAAAATTCAAGTGCACTTGAAACACTGCTTTTGTCAATCGTCAAGCATGTAAAAATAAAGTTTAAAGATGCATTTTTAGGCATTAAGGTGACTCCACAAAATGGATATGAAAAATCTAGTGAACCGAATTTTTGCTGTGTTGTATGCGACCGTAGGCTCTACCAGAAAGTGTGGTTTTTTATTCTTTTGTCTTTGAGCTCATGTTTTTGGGCCGTTCAGAAATGTCAAGGTAGAGATATGAAATATTTTTTCTCTAGGAGATGAAGTTCTTGACTATACGAGTACCTGCTTGCGATGAATGTACCCAATTGAAGATGATGGTAATGGACACTGTCGAGGAGTACCAGAAGCCCTCCAAAAATGCTTCGACGGTCGCAACAACAGACGTAGGTGATAGCACGCAAGATCCGTCTAGTTCTCCGAGGATACCGGAAGAGTTATTAGAAGCGCCGCCTATCCTTCACCGATTGGGTAGCCCAAGTGCCAGCCTTGAAAGCAACACGATGAAAGGAAGTGCCGACACGAACGACTTTTAATTTGCCAGAATCCATTTTTTTGTCGAACCTGATGCAGTATAATCTGCATTCCCGATAAGAACTGTCTAAAGAATTAGCGCTTCCTTCCTTATCACTCCTATGTCATTTCGCCCCTGAAGCTCCAACTGTTTCATGCAACTTTACCCAGAAAAGTGTGATTCATCTTTGCTGCAATCTTTCCCTGTCAGTTTCAACACAATTTAAATGTGAGTAGTCTTTTTTCGTTGAATATGGTACAACGGTTTGTCCATTCCACTCTCAGCAGAACACAACGCTGCTCGCCAGAAGGCGACACCTGATTTAGGCATTATTTTCATTATTCTGGACCCAGTTGACCACAAAGTCCATCTGCTTTATTAGTGTGTAAACCTTTGAAATCGGCGTCTTACACATTGCACTGCAACCAGCTGAGAATTAAAGTTTTATGCTCATGAGGAATTCATCATAGCAAAGAACTGACAATCATCCTGTTACAGGAGATAAGCGGCAATATATTTGGTTACTTCCAGTTAAAAAACGTAACAAATATCTGAGTCAAGTGCGAAAAATAGTAAACAATTAAACAAAACAGTGGCAACCTCGAACAACACTTACAGTAATTCAATGAAATAAATGAAAATGCTGGTTAGTTATGCCAATCAATAAGTCATCACTGCTTCTAAACTTCTCCGGTTAAGACATACAAAAGCAACAAAGATTTGTAACTGTTAAAAGAGCAAAGCTTTTCCATTTGAGTAATAGGGATGTATCAACAGTAGAACATATCGCACCAATTGGTTTATGCTAGAGAAACAGAGAAATACCTTATGAAACAAACTAGAAGCTTAGGACCCACGAACACCATAATGAAGAACTCCCCTCACTTCTTACCAGAACCCACCCAGTCACCACGGTCCTTTAAAAAGTTCAATGAGTTCCAGACTTCTAGACAGTAGATTCGTTCCCTTAATGTACTTTGAAAACAATTCTAATATATGAAGAACGCAAGAAAACACTGACGTCAAAAAACCTTCATTAGCGCCGCTGAGAAGACTCTTCTGCAATTGCCATTTGAAGTATGTTCATTATTTCTATGTGCAAACGAGAAAGCCGGACAGGGTCCTTTATCAAATCCAA